TATATATATATATATATATATATATATATATATATATATATACAAAACAAAAATGTTCTATCATGAAAACTGGGAGGAGGAGTCTGGACAAATGATATACCCTTTTTTTCTTGCGGAAAACCGGTTAAAAATTGGTGAATTCAAACTAAATGTCCATGAATAAAATCACAGCTTTATACATCATATTGGAATAAAATGTATTTAGTGATTCATGGTTACACGCACGTCACGTGCAAATATGTATCAAATACGTATCAAAATATATGTATACTCAATATTATAATCAATATTTAATATATATATATATATATATATATATATATATATATATATGAATTATATAATGTTAAAAAGAACCAAATAAATGCAAACGAGTAATAATATTAATAGTACAAGTATACATGCGGCAAATTCTTTGTACGTATGCTAATTATATATATCTTCTTGTAAGCATTTATTATAGGTAATTCCCATCTGCTATAATCATCATGATCTTCTTCAGGCTTGGATCCAGGAATTGTTTCCAGGAGGGGAGGTCCATCCCAGTTGAAAAATTTCCACCCCAGAAATTTCTTGACCAAAAAAAAAACAAAACAAAACAAAAAACAGAGAACCCAGAATGAAAAACTCGTCTCTGGTTTTATCCTTCATTTATAACCCCAAACCGAAAGTTTTTATCCCGTCTATAAAGTCTTAAAATTTATCGAGGTAATTTTCGAGGAATAAATGAGTAAATTACAATAAAGAGGCTCAACCAGAATGTTTGAAACGATTTATTTGACAAGGAAAAAGTCTTTCACGATGTCATTTTAAAGTAGGTTGAGTTTGAAGCGGGGTGCCTGAAATTGAGTTACATGTAGGTACCTTTTGGAAAGAAAAAGAGGGGTTGACCCCATAAACGAAAAAAGTGTCTGTGGAAAGAAAAAAGAGGGGTGACACCTCATATACGAAACAAGTGCCTGTGTTACAAACCCTAGCTTTGTTAAAAAGGCGAAACACACACACACTTCTTGTATAAAGATACTTGTAACACGCGATTTTACAACTCTCCTAATGCAAAAACATTTTCCGTAAAATACCAAAAAAATACGACTAAATATCTACAGTCTCAGTGGCATAACCAATCGACATGCAATGTGTATATGCAAATTAGGCATGGGTGTGGGGTCAATGAGTCCAGGCAAAACCTGGGGGAGGGGGTGTCAACGGACAAAGCCCTCGAAAGTTATTTTTTTGGTTCTGGAAATGTTTTATTTACTACAAAACGCAGAAAAATTTAGATTGCATCGTTATATTTCAATATAATTTTAAATTTGAATCACAACCTTGATTAGGAATACAATATGGGATATCAAAGGGATTAAATGAACACTGTAATCTTTAAAAATTGGGGGAAATTATGATAACCTTTTTTAGTTGTCTAATTTTAATATTACATCTTCAATATACTCGTGTACTTTCAAATCAATATTTACCTTTTATCTATTTCCTTGTTGAAATGGACCACTATAACACTATATACCAAAGTTATTTTTCAATCCGTCAATTCTATATATATAATGTATATCATTCTGTGCAATTGGTTTGTACTTTTGTTAAGGTTTAAAAATTGGCCATATACGGTATAATAAAATTTTTATTATACCGTATATGGCTAATTTTTAAACCTTAACACAAGAGGCCCATGGGCCACATCGCTCACCTGAGCACATTGGCTAGGGAAAAAAGCAAAAATCAGTTCAGTATTGCAAAGTTTATGGGGGGGTGGGGGTTGAATTTTAAACTACCTAATGATGCTTTCATATCAATATAACAAATGGCTTTGCCTGTTCTTGAGCAGCAGATTTTTTCCCCATATATTCGTTTGTAAAACTTTGATCCCCCATTGTGGCCCTACCCTACCCCCAGGGGTCATGATTTGAACAAACTTGAATCTACACTACCTGAGGATGTTTCCATATAAATATGACCAATCATGACTTTGCTGTTCTTAAGATGAAGATTTTTTAAGATCTTTTCCTATATATTTCTATGTAAAACTTTGATCCCCCATTGTGGCCCCACCCTACCCCTGGGGGTCATGATTTGAACAAACTTGAATCTACACTACCTGAGGATGCTTCCATATAAATATGACCAATCATGGCTTTGCTGTTCTTAAGAAGAAGATTTTTTTAAGATATTTTCCTATATATTTCTATGTAAAACTTTGATCCCTCATTGTGGCCCCACCCTACCCCCGGGGGTCATGATTTGAACAAACTTGAATCTACACTACCTGAGGATGCTTGCAAATAAATATGACCAATCATGACTTTGCTGTTCTTAAGAAGATTTTTTAAGATCTTTTCCTATATATTTCTATGTAAACCTTTGATCCCTCATTGTGGCCCCACCCTACCCCCGGGGGTCATGATTTGAACAAACTTGAATCTACACTACCTGAGGATGTTTCCAAATAAATATGACCAATCATGGCTTTGCTGTTCTTAAGAAGAAG